TTGCAGCGATGCAAGAGTTTTACAGAAGAGTACCCTCACTGTTTCATGGGAAGCTACTTTTGAAAGTAGAAAGATTGTACATAAAGTAAGACTAAGGCCGTTGTATGCACTTAAAAGTTTCTCTTTGGCTATACATTATAAATCTAGTTGCAAGGTAAAGCTCATGTCTTTGGTTTTTGCATCACCTCTTCAATGACAGATAAGAAATACCTTCAAAACCTTGATCAATACATAATAACACTGAAAATAGGTGAAAGGGCATAATTAATTTGGACTACAGTCCACGGAATCAAAAGTTAAATAGCCATGTACAAAACCATGTCACATCATTACAATTTCTAGATATGTACATTAATATCTAATAAATGCTAATAAAACCAAACTATAACAGATTATAATTTTGTGCCTCTTGCTTAATATCAGAATATCTTCATCTCCTTCAAGATTATCACGTTTTGGCATTCAAATTATGGGAGTGTTGTATCCCAGAGCAGGAACACCTCTGTCCTTAAACACCACACCAGTATAGTAAAATCAGCAAGCAGTTTTTTGAAGGACATATGTAAGCAAAGCAATAAAAATGATAGAAACAATATAGTCCAAAGCCGTAATATGTAAAGGTAACAAATAGTCCGTGAACTTCAAGGTACAAAGATAAAAACTCAAGATGCAAGGATGCAAAATCCAAAAGAACAAGACAGTATGGAGATGCAATACCCAGAACAGGATCCTGTCAAAACTTGAAACTTGAAACTAGAAATCCACTTAGAAACAAGACTGTCATGATGATGAGACTGAGCTAAAATCCTTTCTCCATCTCATATAAAGCTTTTTCTGTCTCATCAAATGAAAGGAAAACATTGTGTTTGCCTTTACAACCAGATAAGGTTTTCTTACCTCTCTTTTCTAGCATATGGGCTGACCTTAGTTTACAAAAGTCTTGTCTTCGATCTTCAATCTCATTAAATTCTGCACCTGACAAATCATCCTCAGAAGGCAGTTTCTCAGAGAAAGGCTGCTGTGGGCCTCTTTCAGGGATTTGACCTTGGGAATCTACATGGGAAGCATTCAGCAAGGCCTGGACTTGACTCATGCTCAGGAAAACCCCCATCCCCATTGACATCAGACACAATCACAGGCTGAACTACAACAGGGAGAGATCATTTTTCAAGAGCTTGAGGGAAGGTTCTACCTCAAAGAGCCTTCCTTTTCTCTATCGCTTTCTCATATCATTTAGAAGCTTGCGAGTTCAGCGTTCAAAAATCTTGTAGGGAACAGAGACAATGTAATTGGGTTGCTGTGAGTTTTTCAGGCTGTATGGCCATTTTTCAATAGTATTCTCTCCTGATGTTTCACCTGCATGTATGGCAGGCATCCTCTAAGGTTTGTTCAGAGGTCTGTTAATTATATGGATGAACATGGTCACTCCACTTCTCTCAATCAGTGAGGACGTACAAGGTATATTTGGACCTTGAAAGGAAAAATACTGGGTAGCAAATGTAATGAAGCTGGCTTCATTTTTGGTCAACTCTCAACTTTGGTGAACTTAGTCTCCTTCCATTACTCCCAGTGAGGTTTGGCTATCATTGACAGGAACTTACATGAATATATATGGATCCCCAGAACAGCCATTTGCATCCAACGCATGGAGAAAATCAGGGACTAACACAGTTCCAATTTCCTTTGCCTTATGAGTAATGAAAACCCATAGAATGAGACTTTTGATAGCCATACATAACATTTTTATATTACAATTTTTAAACATACATATTCACATTCATAAGATTCTGCTTTATACATGTATTTTAAAGCCAAATAAATCAGCATGCATACTGCATCTGTGCATACATGGATTTGAACAGTGCCAAATGCATGCATGCATCCTCTACAATGAACATGGCACACCTCTGTGGTACTTTAAAGGAAAACACTGCACAGGACATGGTTCAGGATAAGTGAGAATGCAACTTGCAATCAAACAACATCTGGAGAACTACACATTCCTCCCTCTGTCTTTAGAGCATTTGCATATTATCCAGTCCTTGAAGAAGGACACGAGCTGTACATGTAATCTGACACTTAGATTTCAGTCTTAGGCATGCTTTCCTGAAAGAAGCCTCAGTTAACTCTCTGATTCTTACTTCCATGCTTAGGATTGTGCTGCACCCAATCCTAAGCAACTATTTCACTTGGAAGCAGATAATTTCCTCTTTTTCATCTGCTAACTGGAAAAGGAGAACCTTAATAGCTATACCTGAAAAAGTGCCCTGAGGCATAACTAACTTCTGAATTGCATGCAATCAAAATATCAGTTCAGCACCATGTTCATGCTATGCCATTTACTGTACCTGGGTATAGTACACTGCCATGCTGCATGTTAATGGAAAAGATACAAGACAAAGAATGTTAGCTTTAGAACGTTTCTAGAGACAACAAGTTGTGTGAGGCATTTTATACATAATAGTTACTTCATTGCTGTTTTTTTATGTTGTACCAAATCTGATGGTCTTCAAATCCTCATTTATTCTGTGGTCAATAATTGGTTGGGTTCTTAATACCTTTTAGCAGGGTATGCTTTAAAATTTCAGGATATTGCTGAAAACATTGCTGAAGCTAAATCTGCACGTGTTTCAAGTATTATTTCATTGTTTTAAAATGAAATCCTGGACATGTCTATTCAGAAGTAAGCCTGAGATGAATTCAACTTATTTCCAAACATGTCAAGGTTAAAGATAAAGGTAAAAGTTTCCAACTCTGGCGCGTGGTGCTAATCTCCATTTCTAAGCCAAAGAGCCGACGTAGTCCATAGACACCTCCAAAATCATGTGGCCAGCATGACTGCACAGAGTGCCATTACCTTCCTGCCAGAGCAGTACCTTTTGATCTATTCACATTTACATGTTTTTGAAGTGCTAGGTTGACAGAAGCTGGGGCTAACAGTGGGAGCTCACCCCACTCCATGGATTTTAACCACCAACCTTTTGGTCTGCAAGTTCTGCAACTCAGTGGTTTAACCTGCAGCCCCACCGCAGCCCCTATGTTAAGGTTAAGCATATCTTATCCAGAACTCCAATATCCAATATACTTCACTATCCAAAATTGTTCACACAGATAGATGATAGTGACACCTTTGCTTTCTGGTATGTACAAACTTTGATTCATGAACAAAACTAATTAAAATATTATGTATAAAATTACCTTCATACTATATATACATGGTGTACATATATGAAAATAGATGAATTTTATGTTTAGACTTGGGTCCTAACCCACCTAAATATTCCAAAACCTCCCCTCAAAATTAAAAATTAAAATTAAAAACACTTCTTATCCCAAGCATTTAGGATAAACGATACTCAACCTGTATAGAACTGGAGCCTTAAAAACTGTTTCAATGCAAATAGTTTTTTTTTGTATCTTAAGAATTACAACTTTAAGGGCAGGAATCAAAAGAAGTGAAACAAAAAAAAATATATAATCTGATCCTAAGTATGTTTACTTTGAAATAAGCCCCACTACATTCAGTGCAGCAGTTTTGAAATCTTCATATTAGAAATAGCAATCTTCTACAAGCCTCCTATCCTAGTTATTTGTTATATAATTCAGAATGCTTACTATATTGTATATGTGTGTGTTGGTATGCAGCTTTCCTTAACTCTATGTTGTGGAAGGGACTACAGACCATATGACCAGATCTGTGACTATTCTGACCTGAGATCCATTTAGAGGTCTGACGCTGTTAAGACTCAGATTGTACAGACTCCACTAGACTCTCAGAGATGCTATTAAACTTTGGACTGTTAAGAGTGTAAGAAAGATGCCCTGTGTTATCTGCACAGAGAAACTACTTCAAATCTATCTGTAACTGGATTGACAAGCTATGTACCTGTATGCTGAATACGTGAAGGTAATGATATGTTACTTTTGATGAAGTCTACCATATTTTTGTCTCTTGAGAGCATGATTTAAACCAACTATATTTTAAGGGAGACTGAGGGCCCTTCCACACAGCCATATAAAGCAGAATATCAAGGTAGAAAATCCCATAATATCTGCTTTGAACTGGGTTATCTAAGTCCACACTGCCATATATTCAAGTTCAAATCAGATAATGTGGAATTTTCTGTCTTGATATTCTGGGATACAGGGCTGTGTGGAAAGGCCCTGAAATAAAACTTCTGAAAATATGCTATGTATTTTGTGCACTGGCATATATTTATTCCTAACAGTTCAAAGAGATAACGAGATATCCGTCTAACAGCTGAGAAAGCGAATTTGACTTGAATGAATTTGTTGTCGTTTATTCGTTCAGTCGCTTCCAACTCTTTGTGACCTCATGGACCAGGCATATTTCTGGTTGTACTGATCCATTTAGTTTTCATGGTAAGAATACTAGGGTGGGTTGCCATTACCTTCCCCAGGGATCATATTTAGTCCAACCTCTCTGCCATAACCTTCCTATCTTGGGTGTCCCTTCATGGTTTTACTCATGGTGTCATTGAGATACTCAAGGTCCAGCACCACAACAAGGTAATGATCCTTTGCAGGAGCTTATATGAATAGTAGTGGATATTTACCACCAAGGAGAAGATTCACCAAAAGGCTATGGAGATTTCTGGTTTCCCAAAAGATTATGATGTCTAAAAGGTCATGCTTTTCCAAAAGGCTATGAATGCCATTTTCCAAAACTTCATATGCAAGAATCTGAGTGTGATTATTCCCATTTAAAAACTAAAATAGCATGTTACTATCTGTAAACAGATGTTTTTATAGACAATATGGTACAAATCTTACAAAGAAAAATGTATTTATGATACTTGTGTTGAATATTTCAACATTTCAACTCAGAATGACTCTTTCCTGCGTCTTTAGCCAAAACACATGTTTATAGAAACCAGATACATGTACCAAAATGCACTTTGAAAATACAACAACAGCAAAAGTCCATTTGGGGACAAGATTTCAGCACTCCTGAATTAACAAAAATAAACAGTACTTACGTCGTTTTTGGGAAACTGCTTGCAAACAGGCTGTTACAATGTCACAGTTCTTCTGTACTTTATGCGAAAGCCTATCCTTTTGTTTCAGAAGGCGAAGTAGCTTTGATGACTGAACACAGATTGTATAATTCAGCTCTCGTATTATCGTCGTCAACTCACTCAAATCTGTCAGCAAAAAAATTAAAATAAAATGAGCCCAGTGGTGAAAACCTGCAACTAAAGAACCCATTACATCCCAGCTATAGCGACAGGATGCATCAAATGGATCTTATTTCATAAATACATATTCTAGAGACAAAATCCAATGTGTTTGGAAGAGTTCTTAAGGTGCCACATCTTAATACCACTCTGTCCGAAACTATCCTAATCAATGTTTCATATGAAATCTAAAATATAGCTGAACAAAAGTTCAAAAAAAAATAGTAAAAAGAAGTAATCAGAATTGCTTCAGAAGTTCCTCTGATTTGATACCATTAGGTATGTATTTTCCAATTATTCTCAGTGTTCAGACTATGTAGTACACAATGAATGCCACTGTAAAAATTAAATTTTTATACATATTGAACTGTTTGCTAGATGATACTGCAGTATCTGATTTTTCTACACATTCTATTCACTCTTTCCCAATGACATTTAAAAGCATAACAAAAGCATGAAGTATTAAAAATTCTTCATTTATTATAATGTTTGAACAGATAAGACTGTTTTATTGTTTTTATGATTGTTTTATTGCTTGTGGGTGTACTGTGTTTAATTTGTTTTATGTCTAATTGTAGTGTATAATTGTAATTGTTTGTACTGGCATTGAATTTTGCCATTACTTATATGTAAACTGCTTTGAGTCCCCCTCAGGGTGAAAAAGGCGATATACAAATACCGTAAATAAATAAATAAATAAAATTGAAATATCTAATGAGATTGTGACATACAATACAATCCTACATATGTCCACAGAGAATTCAGTGAGATTAAGGGTGCATCTACACTATACAATTCATGTAGTCTGACACCACTTTAACTGACATGGTTCAATACTATGGAATAATGGGTATTGTAATTTTATGGAATCGTGAGAGTTGTAGTTTTACAAAGTCTTTAGCCTTCCCTGCCATTGTAGTATGGGCTATATTATAGACAATACAGTATGTTCATCACCATTGTAACTTTGCTCTTAAACAGATGTCTTCCTCATATGATATACAAAATGATCATGCTCCATTCAACAAAGTTTTAGAAAAAAAAACATTAAGGCAATACAGAAACTGTTTTTTAAAAACAATGCAACCATGATATTTAAACAGTTATAGAAATCTGCTTTACTAGATGAATAGTAGAACTGCGCTTGAAACTATCAATTTTGTCAATATAATATACACTATACACAAGGCACCCTCTAGTGGGTAAAAGCAGAAATCAAAAATCATCTTTCAAATGAACACTTGATATTGTTTATGGAATCAGCTGAAACAAATTTGGGAAGAGATATATCTGCAATCAGTAACACAGAATAATAATTGTACTGAATGTCCTACACAAGCCCTATCCCTTTGATCCTAACTCTGGACTCTGATTTAGGGACAGAAGTAACAGCAGTATAGATTGCTAGCCAGGAAGGAAACAACAAAGAACAGGGGAAATGACATTCAATAGAGTTGGCGTCGATGGTAGGATTGTGCACAGGACCTCTGGCAAAATTCAAAGTTTGATTCAGCAACCTGAGTCTGTATCCAATTCAATCTAAATCAAGCCGCATCCAAGCCAATCTTATCTGGATCCAAAATTCAAACTGAAATTTTGAATACCTGTTGTGCAATGAGAAATCAAAACAGCTATACGTTTTTGTTTTTAACACTTGTGCATACAACTTGCAGGCAGAGCGGATTTGAAAAGGCAATACCAGGCAGGTAGCTTCGGGGAGATCTGTGCTTGGCATCTGGAAAGTGGTTTTTTTTTTTTTTTTAAGTTCAAAAAATGCTCACCTTTTTCCATTTGGCATTGTTCCCTAGCACAAGAGAACCTTCCTTCAGCACCAAGAAGGACTCCCACTCCATCTTTTACCATTGAAGAACTGAACCAACAATGAACAAAGGTAATAAGGCATGTAACTGAGCAGCATTCGGCAGAGGTAGATAGGAAGACATGCAGAGCATCAGCTTTCAGATTTTCTTTCTCTTTTTGTGTGTGTGTGTGTTCAAACTGTCTGTTTTTATTCAATTGTTTCCAACTTTACAGCAAAGATCAATACAAACAATGTGAATACTGTTTTCGCCTCACTCCATCCAGCTCTTGTTTTTGTTTCCCCAGAAACAAGACATTGCCTCACTTGCGCAGAAGAAAAACAACCACATCCCCAACAGCAGTTGAGGCAGGAGAGGAGGGATCTCTTTCTCTACTCTAAAACGCAGCCCCAGATACGTAGCAATTGCTTGCAGATAAACAGCTTGCCCCTTTACTGCCATTGGCTATCAAAAGAGAATGGGAGAAGGAATCCAAGCTCTGCAGGTGCCAAGGACTGACAGGCAAGTGCCCATTTAAGAGGCTGCAGCTGCCCCTTGTAAACGTACTCCAGTGTGGTGGCAATGGTCCGCATATCCATCTCTATGCTACGAGCCCAGTTTTCCACATCACCAATTTCCTTCAAAACCTGGTTGAAGTTTTCCATCATGCTGATCCACTGGCCTGTCTGCTTGGCAAACTGAGCCACCTATATCTGCAGTGTCTTCACTTCATGGTCAAGCTTCCTTTGGTTTACATAGGCCTGTGCAACCCCTACATTTAAGTGGTCAACCAAAGCTTCTGTTACGCAAGTGGCTGCAGCAATGGTCTCCCATGGCCACCATTCTTGCAGCTCTTTCCTCTCGCCCTGCTTCGCCTGGTGCTCCCTCAGCAGCCGGGAGAGCATGATTGCAGCCCCCACTTTCTCAGCCGCAGCGGTGGGTCCAGATGTTCTTTCTTGAATGGGTGTAGCAAGCACAGAGCATCTGCCAATTAATTGTTAAAGTTTAACTTTTAGTAACAGCTTACTCCTGAAGTGCTGCTTTTCTCCATTTCAAGATAGGGAGGGAATAATGCAGCTCACAAGATATCACTACCTCTGAGGATGTTTGCCATAGATGCAGGAGAGAATGCCTCTAAAACATACTGGTGAGGTCGGGGGGATTGATTTTGTCATTTGGGATTTGTACTTCCTGGGATTTATAGTTTACCTACAATCAAAGAGCATCCAGAACAACACCAACAATGGAATTGAACCAAACTTGGCACATAGACCAACAGAAAATACTGGAAGGGTTGATGGGCATTGAGTTTTGGAGTTGTAATTCACCCACATTCAGAGAGCACTGTGGACTCATACAATGATAGATCTGGACGAAACCTGCACAAATACTCAATATGCCCAAATGTGAACACTGGTGGAGATTGGGGAAAACAGACCTTGACATTTGGGAGTTATAGTTTCTGGGATTTATAGTTCACCTACAATCAAAGAGCATTCTGAGCCCCACCAATGGTAGAATTGGGCATGCCTGCTCTCCCTCCTTGCTTGGAGTCTCAGAAACAGCCCTCCCCTTGGCTGATAGGCCAGCCTTGGCTGATAGGCCAGCAGAGGAGGGCTTTTTGTGGGAGGATTCAGCACCTGTTTCCAAAAAGGAAGAGAAGTACAGGTAGAGAGATCTTCAGCCTTCTCTGCCAAAGGGGTTCCTAAGACCATCAGAAATATATGTTTTCTGATGGTCTTTGAAGATCCCTTTGAAACCACCTTGCAACCCCCCCCCCCCCCCCCCCCCCCCCCCCCCCCCCGGGGTCCCGACCTCCAGGTTGAGAAACGCTGCCTTAAGGCATCTGGTGAAATAAGCTGGAAACTTTTATCTCATGGTGCCTTACTTTCTCTTCCAGAGTTACCTGCCTGAGTCTCTTAATGGAAAAAAGAGCGACCGTTTCTGTGCTCCTGCAACCCTACATTCCTAAAATCTGTGTTTTGTCCCTGCAAACAACCTCATGGAACTTTTGTACTTCTCCCCTAAAAAAGACAAATTACTTTTATCTTTGTTCAGATCGGAGCTTTACAAAGTGTATGTTGCAACACCTTAGTATGTGAATTCCAATTTGTAGGTGCGTCACGCGGGTCTATGTGAAATAAGCAATATCAGCTGGCATGCATTTGTATGCAGCAAAGGTGCCACTTAGTAGTAGTAACGTTATTAATATTAGTATTAGCAACATACTGTTACTCCAAAATGACAAAAATATTGGAAATGTATGTTATTATTTTTAAAATCTCATATTTTTAAAAATATAAATCAAACATTTTCATGAGATATGGTGTGTCCCCATATATTTTGTTATCACAATGTATATATGTGTCCATATCTCATATAAGAGGTTGGTTTAGCCTCCGGTTTGTTAGCAAAACTGAATTACCATTTTGCAAAATGTTGCATGTCTAATAAGTAAAATGAAATGTTTAGAAATCTCTGGTTGAGATGCTTGAGCAAGCTCTAATGTTTTTGACATCTGCCCCTGCTTGTTTGGTGCCTACAGTGAAGGCAAAGAGCAGTCCTGGGATCTGCTTCCACCCAAAATGCTCCCACAGAACATTCAGCCTTTTTTGGCAAGATACACAGAGTCTACCTTCCATCATGGAGACTACTTCTGTCATTTGCTGCTTTATTGTGTTGCTACGTCTATCGTCTCCACCTATTTCTTCTCCTATGGTCAAATGGAGCTTTCCTGACATTGGAAGTCAAGCTACTCCCATTATACTACAAGCTCTTACATGTCTTATTGAGGGTGAAATAGACTTGTGGTTGGTAATATAAATACTATCACCAATAAAAAATCTTACTGAAGATTAGGATAAATCATCTGCTTCCCTTTGTCCCTGGGACATCATGTAGATTTATGTTACTGCTAGGGAGATATCACATAATAGAGTATATTAAATGAATGGTCAGATATATTAAAAATAAAAGTTATTAAACTTGTAAATAATATATAATTTTGACTATATGCGCTAATTGAACATTTAGAGCTTTTCTTGCTCAAACAAGAAAATAATCATGTTTTGCTTTGCTTTGCAATGAGAATGAACAGACAATAAAATTATAATGTATGGTTTATGAATTAAATACATGTTCCTGCTGGCAGGTCAAAACTTCAGACAA